TCGATGAAGTAGACTCAACCAGCAGTTGCGGCCATGAGCCGAGCTACCCAAGGGACCGTATTTATGGTACCACAAGCATCCAAGATGTGCAGCGGAGATTGTCTGAGCACCACGTCGTGTCTTCTGCTCCCTACTTTTGACCTACTCCTCTAGTATATACCGTGGAGCTAGATGCCTGCCTCAAGAAATTAAAGGACCTCGAGAGCTGAAAACGCTTAGTGGATATGATGACGCTCGATGGGTGCTTTCTCGTTTAGTTTGTAATCAAGCAGAGGGAGAGCTGGTTGTCCACAACCAGGTGTCACCGTTGTCAACCGAGCCAGATTTTTCATGATGGTTAAAGACAAGATGATGTTATCCCCAGCTAGTTAACCTGTTGCACTCTTCTAATGAAAAATTACAAGGGATATGAAGGAGCACTAGGTGCTCTGCCTCCTTTCCACTACGTCCCAAGCACACAGTCCTGGTGTACCGTGCCCACCCACTCCGTCATAGAAAAAGGCTATTTCAAATGGGATAGACACTAACGAGATTAGTGCTCACTCCCACCGCACTGTCTGACCCGACTAAAGGGATTGGACTTCTTGGAACATTACCATAAATTGAGATGAGGCTACGCATCTCTTCACCAATCTCTCATTTATCTATCTATCTACTCGACTAGTTTCATTCTTTTGTTCTAATAATTATAAATTAGTAGTTGTATCTATGTATTAATATATTATATATAAATACTAATTAATATATAGAAAGTATAATTATATATGTGTTACTAACTCATTATGATATTTATAATATTTTATTATTTAAGTCTTAATATAGATTATTTTATTTATATTATGAGACTAATCTTACTTAACTTTTATGAAGTCAAGTAGTGATTCTCTCTCATTTTCTTAATAATTATTTGATTACAAAGACTTAAGTGAACACTTATTATGAATTAGAAGTAATAGAAGAAGTTCAAACTTTCAACTTAAGGAAAAGCTCAAGTCTTATGGAGAGGGCCGACCTAATATGTTTATGGGCTCAAGAGAGGGTGTCACCTTGGCCTAACCCATTTGAACTTAAAAAGGTTATTAAGAAATGAAATCTAGGTTCCCCATCATAAGGTACCCTAAGATAAGATTAAGAAGAAGATTAAAGTGACACCTTCATAAAAGAATCTAGGTCATCCACCATGAGAGTCAATTATTAATCATAACTATCTATTAGAGGGCTTAATTCTCTAGAGGTTTAAGACATCTCGTCCCCCTCTTAGAGGACACTTTCTAGCTCTCTCTTTAGTAGTGTCTAGCCGAAGAAAAAAAAGAGGAAAATCAAGACCTACTTAACAGCATTCTCGTACCCAAAATTGTGGTGGAGACAAGACTACTTAAAATGCATCAAGATCATCATAGATCAAGCACCACTCAGCCTAAGACTAACACACAACAAGGCCTATGTAAGATCTAGATCTGGGGCATCCTTATAATCTTTTCCATAGGTAAATTAACTCTTAGTTCGAACTAGTTTTATCATTTATTATATCATTTCATTGCATTAGATCCATTCTCTCCCCTTTGTCACACTTTTCATTTCTCTTATCTTTACCCTTTTAGATTTAATTTCACCCTTCATGATCTCAAGTATATATATATAATAAATAAAATAAGTAAAATTCTTACTCTCATTACCCACACTCCTTGAGGATCAACCCTTACTTATCCTAAATCAAAGAATGAGATTTTATAAATATTATTTGTATGAACTTAGTTGCATCACGACGACATATAAATACCTCTAAATAGAGTTCATCACATTCTAACTGAGCTAAGACCCAAGCAGCAACTCTTCTCTCTTGCTAGTCCTCACATATAGTTGTTGAGTCTCTAGTTAACTAGCCACATAAATTATGAGGAGGTGAATTTATCCTCAATGTCAAGATGGCCATATTTTTTTAATTTGTCTTGTAATTGTTTTCCTAAGTATAATATGACTCAAGGAGAAAGATAAAGACATTGAGTTTTTATAGTGGTTAGGTCACACCTTGTCTACATCTGCTTTGAAGATCACTATCACAATTTCACTATTATTGTTCCAATAATATAGTTGATTTCATCAGTTCAACAAATCTTTTATATAATAAACTTCACAAGCCTATCAACCCAATTTCTCGATGGACTTCACAAGTCTATCTACCCATACTAAATATCAAGGCTTCAGTAAGTCTTTTGATAGTGTGATAGGTACTCTAAGATTTCATTCCTATCTTCAAACACAAGAGCAAAGTATTGAAGTATGAATAAGATTTGTAGTAATGTCTTCTTGCAGAATTGGGAAATTCATCATACAAGATGATGCATGAGATGAATTTATCAAAGCATTGAGCACTAGAAGATCAAAGCATTGATCTTCTAGTGTTGCAGGAGCTTTGAGGAATTGGATACAGCAACACTTCTTGGTGGATGAGGGAGGAAGATACATGAAGTGGAGGTTCTCTCTCTAAATCTTTCTTGTTCCCCTTTTTGATATTTTAGTATTTACCCTAATTTGGACAAAAGCCTCCCTTCATATACTCTATTTAATGGAACAAATTATTGTCTCAATGGCTAGTTGAGCAAACAATAATACACCCCAATGTGTTAGAATCATTGAGAAATACATTCATTGGATTTTAAAATTCATAATTATTAAAAAAATTCAAATTTCTGCACATCATTTATCCAACTGTCATTCATCGTGTGTTACATTTTTTCACAGTCAAGGCAAAGAAAGAAAAAATGGTTTAGCTTTTGCCACATTTTCTTCAAGTAGGTAAACCTACCTCCATTCATTAAACCCTTGCTAGAAAGTACTCTCCCTAAGCAGCTAAAGCCATCCACATAAGGCTTTGGTTCCTCTTATGTTTGTTGATGAGTGTCCTCATGACTATTTGTGACACCAATTTGGCCCTAAAAAATATTTTAATTACATGCTATAGTAATCCTGATCATTTTGTCCTCGATTGAAATTCTAAATTAAATAATATTATAAAATTATAGCAAATCAAATTCTTCAAACTTAGAAGCTCTACATTTTTTACTATGTTCGTTTTTAAAATATCTTTCAAATGAATGATTCCACCCCTATGTTTTATTCTATTAAAATTATCCATAAATAATAATGATTATGTGCTTAACTAAAGTTAACTTGATTTAGATTTGATGATTCACACATTGATCATAGCATAAAATCATGATTCACTTATATCTACCTAACCCTCATCAATGATGTATTTAGTCCCAACTTTCATTTCATCTTCAATAGTGTTATTGATTGTGATTAGTAAATACTAATTGAACTTTAGGTTAAGCTACCCATCAAGACAATTTCGGGGATGAACCTTCCCCTCCCCCATATTTTTCTATCGTTGTAATGACAAGTTTGCTCTTGAATTAACTACCATGGGTTATTCTATAGAAAATTGAGTAAATTGATTGGATGAGGTGATAACTCTTAGATGCTGTGTTGATGGGCCGAGTAATCTAGGGATGTTCGAGTTTACTTCTTAGATGTTATACCACAAGAAATGTTCAATTGGACCGCGCGGGTCCATGTGAAAGGCGGGGAATCTGGACCAGACAGTGATTCCAGACAATATGACTTATTTTTGCGTATTATTATGTTATTAAGTTGCATGTTTCCTTTTTTCCTTTTTGGTCTGCTTTCAAGAATGAGTTGTTAGAAAGCTTTTTAAGTCTCTAATTCATTAATGGCCAGCTGGCCGAAATAGAATCTTCTCGATATCCCACGCTCATCGGTCTTGTATGTCATGATCTTCGGCTTTGGATAGCATCCAAACTAGTCTTTTCGTTAACTGAGAGAAAGGGAGAGGGGACCCGATCTTGCCTGCGCATCAGTAGACTCCATTGGAAAGGTTCGTAGTCGAGTCTTCATTCCTGCTCTGATGTTGACGGCTCTATCCGGCTAACGTCTCGTCGCTGTCCTCGCAGTCTATCTTTTTTCTTGGCCTCCTGTTTGTCTTCCTTTCAACGTGGTTTGACGTGATCGACGGGAATATCGATCATTCCTGGTTAGATCCAGCGCAGTGTTAGAGTGGACCCCTTTCATTGGCCGAGAAATCACTCGCCGAAATAGCTTTGTTTGCTAATCCGATGATCCCCATCTGCGATTTCAGTAAACCATATGACTTCCCTGACATCGGGAAGGAAGTGGGGGCTCTGGGGGGGGGAACCGAATTAATCATACTTTCTTTGTTTTATTGGCTCTCGCTGCGCTCATGGTTGTATTCGGTCAACTTCCTTCGTCCTTTTGTTTGAACTTTATCTCTCCAACTGTCTTTTGTTTTCATCAGTAGATATTATGTCATATTTTCTGGCACCTGGGTCTTTAAAGTGATTCCACTTGAAAATTGTACATCTCTATGGCAAAAGAACGTATCCCACTTAAGGAATGACAGCACCCATTCTTCTTTTATCCAGCACAAGAAATCAGGCGTGGCAGCACTGCTGTTAGAGGGTATGAACTATGCCGTTCATTAGCTAAGGTGTAGGCTCTGTGACAAGAAAACATCATTGTAAAAAAAGATTCTTATCATTGAACAGTTTTTCTGCAGAGTTAATAAAAGAGAATCACTAGACGAAATGGTTTAGTAGCATAGTTATGTAGACTAAGTGACGAAGAAGTAAACTGAATAGGTGAAATAAACATTACAGAGTCACCAGTACAGCAAGTAGTTAATGATTATACTTTGAAACTTTTAGCATTACCAGACTTTGCCCATTAGAGTCTTCGACAGCTGTTTGAGTGTACCGTATGGAAGTATTGTTGCTGTCTAACTAATACTTTTCCTTTATCTTACATATTAGAGATCTGTATTGATTGATTTTTCAAGTCCATTCTTTGTAATGTTATTTCGTCTCTGTGAAATTCTTTATGCATAAATGTTGACTTCATGTGATTTCAAGATAACTCATTCCCATATTCATCACCCAGTGCCTCTTTCAGGTGAACTTCAAATGGACTCTAAATCAGTTGAATGTTTATTAGAGAGTTCCGGTGGAGCACATTTTTCGGGATTCCACTTGGATGATATAGAGCCAAGGAATAAGGAAAACGGACAATCAACAACTTCCACCACTGGACATTTTCATAAACAACCTTTTGTAATTGGTTAGTCTCTTCTTGATCAGAAAAATTATTTATCTTGTAGTTGTGTCTCTTTTTTAGATTGGAAATTTTGGACAGTTGTAACTACGATGTGAACTTCTGTGTTCTCCTGAAACTCACTGGCCCAAGCCTGCTATCCCAGTATAACCTTAAAAATGATTTATCCTAGTACAATCGTTTTACGGCAAAAGAGAAGCTGATTAAGAGATTCAGTCTTGCCCTTAACAGTTAGCTTTCTGATTGCAACCGTTTGTTTTCCAGAAAATCACTACGTTGTTCATACTTATTTGTTTCTAAAAGCAAAGGTCATGCCCAAATCAGCAAGGGGCCGAAAGAATGATGAGTGTGTTACAACACCCTTCTCTCCCAAGGTTCCCTTTTGTTCATGAAAGTGTTTCAAACATAATGTGCGGAAATTCTGTTTGAAGTTGTTTTATATGTATTGGACTTGCTGCTCGTCCCACGATTTAATTTTTTATTCGATTTCAAGGACTTCAGTTTTCTATGTGAGCTCTTTTTCTTTCTTGACTTAACATAGTATTAAATTCTGGTCACGATTCTTCAATCGCCATCTGTGCATTGGTTTATTTCTCTGGTTAGAATTTTGACCATCTTTCCCAAGTCGTTTACTTTCTTTTCTTTTTCGAGACAATTGTTGGTTATGAGCCAGTGTGACAACAACAGCATGCTAGGAGTAGGTTCCATGATCATGGTTTGAACTCTTATACTGACTTTTGTGATCCAGCTTGCTTGAAAAGATGTTTTATAGGAATAATTTATTCAAAAATAGATCTATCATTCTAAGCCTGTGCAAATTGGCCCGGGTTGCAACTACACTGAGATACTCTAAGTGAACTATTTCACTTTGACTGCCACCGATCAATACTTAGCTGCCAAAACTTGCAATAATTGACTATCCAATGCTCATAAGCTATATTCGGCTCTTTATTATTATAAAAATCTTGTATCAAATTTTAGCTGGTCAACTGACGTTTAAATTGACATTCCCCTCGGATCATTTTTTCAGTTCTTGATTCACTTTTTTATCTTCTTAAACCTATAATTTTGGTCTCATTTGATGTTTTGTTGCTTTTCACACTGGTAGTTATTAACTTTTTAGTATTTTTCAGTTGTCTATTACTTAATCTGACCACCTTGATCTACTGGAGTCATAACTTATCTTATTTCGCACAAATATCTGAGATTTTCGGAGTGTCATTTGCAGGCGTTGCTGGTGGTGCAGCATCAGGGAAGACCACCGTCTGTGATATGATAATTGAGCAGCTTCATGACCAGCGTGTTGTTCTTGTCAATCAAGTACTATGCTTTTTGCAACTACTTTAGTTATGTCATTCGGAGATTTCGTAGTTTATTTTGATATTTCAATTAAGAAACATAATTTGATTTCTTTCAAAGATAAAGCCCGTATGCACATATAGGCTATAAATTCTTTTCATGTCCAAAGTCTAATTTGGGAACAAAGGTTTCGTAACTTTTAGTATAACCAGGTATATTGTTTTAACCGTCGACCTCTGAACTGTTTTAATAATTCAGTCCTGACTTTCTTTAAAGTCCTACAGAAAATGCAATTTTATTCAATTTTCGATTCCCATGGGTATAGTCTATTTCCCAAGAAAATGTATTTTAATAGCTTCCACTCCATAGTTCTTCCAGAGTCGGTTCCTTACGTTTTAATTTTTTTTCAAAGAACCTTTTGGATCTTAGGTTAACAGCTTTCCATCTAATGCCCCCTCAATGAGCGTGTAACATTAGGAATACTGGTGTCAGATATCGTCATTCATGCTTCTTTTCTACCATTCATTTGTCAACACATCTTTATGGACGTCAACACATGTCACGTAGGTGCCAACCGCAGTATCGACTCTATGTATTCATACTTATGATTTGTGATTCATGAGCTGACGTATCAATTAGTGTTGGCACATCTAAAACCGTCAACCTTTGGTCAAAACTTTTTAAAAACTTCATGTGCTTCCAAAAGTGTCAACCCCAGGATCAACAGATATTCATAAATATATTAATACATTGTAAGCGTTTATCTAAGTGTTAATGCGGCATAAAAAGTTTTTGTTACAATATTTAAACAGAAAATTATGACTAAAATTATGACAATATAAGCGTTTATCAACAGTTATAAGGTTTTTGTCACAACCTTATCAGCTGAAGGTTGGGGATTCAACAAGCACATTAAACACAATCCTCATATGCAATCTTAATATACATTTTCTCTTAAACATAAAAACTAAATTACTCATGAAGTCATGTTAGATTAGTGAGAATCTGACTGCATATCTTGGACTAAAATGTTGTGTTTTAATTTTATCTTTTAAGTCGTAACTTGTTCTCACATAAGATTGATTTAATATTAAAACTGTAAACTAATTTGATGGGAAAACCGGAATCAGTATATTTCACTGATCTTATTTTCAAAAAAAGTCTCTTTTCTTTAAAACCTGTTTTACTTTATATAAGCCACTGACCTCTACCACTGGAGGAGCATAGTTCTTCAAAATATTCTTATATATTACACTATGATCTTACTTCTATTCAAAATATATAAGTATATTTTGTGTAGCCGTGCACATGTTCTATTTATATTTTCTTGTCAAATATTTTTAGAAATGTAATGATATTTATTGTGTGGTTGATGATAGTTTGCAAAAGTAATCAAATCACTGTGTGATTTTATCCTTTTCTTATTTTCAAATTATTTATAAAATTGGAAATTTTCCATCAATATGCCATCATGAATATGTATTCATTTATGGTTATTTAATCCATGATGTGTCTTATTTATTTTCCTAACTTGTTATCATGTTTCTCCAAGTGATTTCCCAACATGCTTTGTTGGCAGATGTGTGCAACTTTTATAATTTTTCATGCTAATATTTTCCACTACGAATTGTTGGTATTATAAAATAATTCATTTTTCCATGATCTTGCAGACCTCCTTCTATCATAGTTTGAGTGAAGAGGAGTTAATGCATGTTCATGAGTACAACTTCGATCATCCTGGTAAGCTCTACTACTTGTAAACTATGATGACTTGTCTTTCACGAAATTCATTTAATCCTTATGGCCATATATTTATCAACATGACACTCTATGGACCAATGTGAAGACAGATTCTTAGCTTTCACTGCTCTTGTAATATCCCTATGCATCTGTTAAAAAACATTTACTTGAAAAACATATTTTAAATATCCTTCTTCTCTTTAAAAGATATTGGCTTATTTTCCCTGCTGAACGACTCAAGTGATTTTTTTAATGATGTATCATCGTGAATTCATGTTATTGAGAGATTGAAGAGAATGAGAACCGTAATATCATGGAACTCAAGTACATAGTTTAGTACTGAATCTAATTCTGTACATTTTACCTGAAGGCGTCATCCACCAACTGTTGTCAGCCAAAATCCGCAATGTTTCTATCAAAAATCACTTAATATGATCATGGTGTCGCTCATTATATTTTTTTTGGTGAAATGAAACATTTTCATTTCAGTTATAAGTGCTGACCAACATTTTTGCAACGTTGGAACTGTTGTATCATCTCACTTGGACTCGTGTTTTTGGCTCTTTTGATGTTCTCCAGTTCCTGTTTTCAGATGCCTTTGACACTGAGCAACTTCTTTCTTGCTTGGATGATTTAAAGAACTGGAAATCCGTTGACGTTCAAAATTATGATTTCAAGACACACAGAAGCATATCACCTGCAAGAAAGGTACAACAGGCTTTCAAAAAAATTGTTTTGGCATCCATTGGTAGCATTTATTATGGTGGGCTAGTTGTGCTACTTGATTTTGATAATATCCGAACTCTGTCATTAGTTGTCTTTGTAATCCATGTTTTTCTTAGTCTTGAAATGAAAACTCGTTGATGGCAGGAAAGCATGCAGTCTTTTCCCCATTCTTTGTACCCACCATTGTGTACTGAATGCCTGCTCTGGGTATCTTGTTGTAACCAATTTCAGACCCTATGCATCGGGTTTCTGAATCTCTGAGGTTTCAATTGGAATATATATTATGTTAAAGTCCTAAGTACAAATTTGTGTGAGCCAGGATGAAGTTAAAATGTCTCGCTGGGTTACTATGATTCAACTCAGTTCTTTTCTTCCTGAGTTTCAATGCTATACTGAGTTAAGTCAACAGTGATCCTTAGGATGATGTATTATATTCATTTCATAAATTTTTCCTGTCATTTATGTGCATTATGCTATTTCGTATTCATATTAAAGAAATTTGTGCTTTATGCTGTTTCCTATTCATATTAAAGAAATTTATCTGCTTTAGGCTATTTCCTATTCATATTACAGAAGGTATTTTACACACTTTTCTTTCTCCACTTTCATTGTCATTTTTGGATAGCCCTGGGCACCTTGTGAAATCCAGATATGAATCTAGTTTAAATAATGCATGTGCTAATGATTATTTATATTGTTACTAATATTTGGCTATCTGTTTTGCCTGCCTTCTTCCCTGCTACTTGGCCATTTTGTGTCTCAAATGTCTAGAATATCATTTGTATTACTACTAAATGGATGACTTTATTTTTTTATTGTTTTTTTTTCAATGCTTTTTGGCCATTTTTTTCTGCAAGATCTTGCTTTATATCTAGCTTTTTTTGTTAACATGTTTCACAAAATGTGATGGTGGTGTTCTGGTTGTATTCATCAGGTCAATCCTTCAGATGTCATCATTTTAGAAGGGATATTAGTGTTTCATGATCCAAGAATTCGGGAATCTATGAATATGAAAATTTTTGTCGATTCAGGTCTACTTTTCTGCTTCTGACTTGCTATGATTCCTCTAATCTTCGTCCTTTTTCTGTTGGTGTATTTTTATTTCTAAGATTGAGACAGATCGGGTTAAGTGGTGAGTATTTTTCCGAGTGGTCAACGTAGTACACTAACTTTTACCTTCTAGGGTACATGTTGCTTATTTCCTTGTCACCTGCTTATATATAATTTGAAATTTAAAAACGGAAAGGCTGTGATAACTTTGCAAAATTGTTCGTGTACCGCTTAAGTTTCTTTTAGCTTCAGACAGTGTTAACTCTTCCATCCGTCTTAAAATAATTCTGTAAATAATTATGCTTCAGTTTATTTAGGTTATGAATTTATCTTCTATGGAAGCGTCTATATGTTTCGAGTTTAGATCTTGTTCTTACCTACAGATTTTTTTTTTCTTTGACGTCTATTTGAATCAATCATGGATCACTTAGTGGACTCACATGTACAGAGGTACCTGGCTGTGTTTTCTCCATAGTTGCTCAAAATTCAGGTGCAGTCTGAGAAAGCAACCAACATCAATTTTTTGACGGCTACTATTATGTCAAGAGTTACCTAGGTCGGGTACTAGGAAGGGTTAGGTTTTCAGCTTGCCACTAGTCCCCTTTTTTTGGAAGTGGGAACTTTAGTGTAACAAATAAAGTAGTTTTCAACATACTAACTTTGGGTATTTTACCCTCTTCTTTTTTTTAGAGAATCATCTTCCATGAACGTGGAGAATGATTAGTCAGAGTATTATTTCATGGTTATGATTCCAAAGAAGATACACTATGTTTACATTTTTTATTAGTTTTATGTTTTCTTTGGTACTCTTATCGTTTTCATGATGATTATTTCCAGTGCAGATGCTGATGTTTGCTTGGCAAGGCGGATACAGCGTGATACTGTCGAGATGGGCAGAGATATCAAAACAATTATAGACCAGGTAAACAGAACGTTGTTTACTGCTAGTGCATGTATTCAGGAAAAAAAAAATTATGCATCATGTTGATGTTCAGCCATTCGGCTATGTTTGTGAGTTGGTTGTCAAAACGTTCTTACACTTGCTATATCTGGTGCAGTATTCGAAATTTGTAAAACCTGCTTTCGATGACTTCATACTTCCAACAAAAAAGTATGCTGACGTGATCATCCCACGTGGTGGAGATAATCATGTGGCAATTGACTTGATTGTGCAACATATTCGCACAAAACTTGGTCAACACGATCTTTGTAAAATATATCCAAATTTTTCCGTCATTCACTCCACGTTTCAGGTAAGAGCCAAAAACTATTTCTAAATTTACTGTTACTATGCCTTTTTTTCAGAATTATTGGATGGTATGTTTATTCCATTTTGAAAATTCACGATAACATTTTGGCAAAGATATGTGGTCCCTCTATACAAATCTCATTGGCTCTTCAAGGGTTTTTCTTCTTATTAGACCCTTTTGTATTTTGTGATTGATCAATTCATTATGACTTCCTCCAGATAAGAGGCATGCACACCCTTATACGTGATACCCATACCACAACACATGATTTCATATTTTATGCTGATCGATTGATTCGTCTGGTCAGTATTTTTAGTTTATCCTTTTACTTGTTTATCAATTACGGTTTATCTCAGCTTATTTAGTTGAAAAACGTTTTTTTCCCTTGTCAGGTTGTTGAGCATGGTCTGGGTCACTTACCTTTCAAGGAAAAGCAAGTGATTACGCCAACAGGTAATTTTGTTTGGTATTTTTTAAATGTGATGTCTTCAATTGATTTACTTGCCATTTTGACATCTCTGCAAGGAATTTTTGAGACAAGGATTATGCTAACCTTGAAGGTTTAGAAGATTTTCTTTGGGCATAGAGTAATAAGACTAGTGAATATTTGGTTAAGTCTGTGACTTGTCTAAAATCCCGTGCTTACAGGTTCAAAGCCAATGGTCAGATTGTGTGTCCAGTGCCTTGAATATGTTGCATTCTCACATTTTGAAATATGGGAGAGGAACAGTTATGTCCATTTGTGATTGTGAGAGTTATCAGGCAAGAGTATAAGGGTGTTGACAACAATGGTTCTCCCACTGTGTAGAATGTGGGGCTATGTATTGACAAGTTCCTGCTCCCCCAAACGCATGTGTGCTGCTTCCATATGATTCGAGTGTGCAATGCAATATCACATGTAGTTTTGTGCCGAGCTGCATCCCTTCTTCTGTTTCGTTGTTCTAATCTAGTTCCGAGAAAAATAAGTCTTTTTCAAAGCCAATTGCTAACAAGTTCTGTTTAATTGGAATTCTAGAATGATTCTCTGTGGTAGCTTATATTCGTGAATGCAGGATCTGTCTACACTGGCGTGGATTTCTGCAAAAGACTGTGTGGTGTCTCAGTGATTAGAAGGTATGCGCCCATTTACTTGTTCTATGATCTAATTTCATTCAAGTAGATAATCACGTATTTTAAAGTTATATAATTTTATTTTGTAGGTGTGTGACCAAAGTTCTCCCATAAGTGGGTGTTTGGATACCATTACACTATATGTATAAAAGAAAAACTATGCATGTTGTCCGAAGATCCCATAACAGAAAAGAAAAGGTCTTCATTCCCCCGTGTCAAAAAAGAGAGTAACCTGGGTTCTACCATCATGCCTTTTGTCAAGTACCTTCCTAATCTACTTATCTGAGGGACTGTTATCCTACCAGCCCATTCATAGCCGTCTTGCCAGCAATCTATGTATTCAGACTTCATCTCTTCTGTTGTTATTTTCACCGTTAAGAGTTTCTTTAGGATGCTAACCTGAGGGTTCCTCGTTGCCACCAGATTCGTCATGCTCGTCCCTCTGTTATGATCAATAATGCTGGATCTTCTCCTTTCAAAATACCCACGATGTCTACTACAACTATTGGTGCAGCATAGTTGACATATTTGAATAGAATCAACTTGCTTCTCAATCTCAGAAAGCAAGTTGTACCATTGGCTTTTCTTGTTATTAAGGAGGAAATATTTGTATCCTCTTCAGTCTTATCTTGAAGTTGTCAGGCTACTAAGTGGTATAGAAACTAATGTATCACCTTAAAAATTAATTGGTAAATCTTATCCAAACGCCATATAATTTATTAATTGGAGTCCGTAAGGTATTTTGAAAAAAGTCTCAGAAATTGATGCTATGAAAGTTGATGGACATGAATCACTTTCCTTGTTCACTTATATTTGGATTGTGCAGGCCTTTGATTGCTTGTGGTAATATGCATTCTAAATACATTTTAACACCATATTTTGGTTTAAATAATTTCAATGGTGCACCAGTTATCATACATTTCTTCAGTAACGTTTCTCAGTATCCATCTTTTGTCGACTAGAAAGAATCCTTTGTCTCAATCTTTCAATGTTCTTCGTTTCTTTTCTTCATGAATAAGTGGGTCTCTGTTGTTTTACGTGGCTTAACTGATGCCAGTGGTGAAAGCATGGAGAATGCTCTTCGTGCTTGCTGTAAAGGGATCAAGATTGGGAAGATTCTTATCCACAGGGAAGGAGACAATGGTCAGCAGGTTTGTGCTAGCCCTGGTTTTTCTTCTAAATTTTACTTGTTTTCCCTAACATTTTTATATTGCAGCTTATCTATCATAACCTTCCATCAGACATCGCAGAGAGGCATGTACTACTGTTGGACCCCATACTAGGCACTGGTAGGCTTGACAAATAATTTAACAATGTTTGCCACAATTTATCTAATATATGTTTACCGTCTGAAAGATTTTTTATATCAAAAAAGAGAGTCCTGTGTCTTATTCTACACTATCTCTGCGTAGATATTAACTTTGTCAGGCACTTCTGATTTGCACTTCTGATTTTCGAGTTAATAGATTATCGGATGATATATAAGAGTCACCTTGTTTCTCTTCTCCAAACTTTTAAGGAAATTTCTTCATTAACCTTTTTATTAAGCCATTTTTCACCAGCTTCTCATGATATTTCTCATCTTCCCGATAGGAAATTCAGCCGTTCAAGCTATTTCCTTGCTAATGTCCAAGGGTGTTCAAGAGGCCAACATCATATTTCTAAACCTCATTTCTGTAAGTATTGAGCTCCATTACTTCATACGACCCACGAATTTTTAAATTATTGAGCTCGAATTTCTGTGAAACAAAGGAGATGAATCTCCTAGTGTTTGTCACCTAGACCATCCTTCTCCAAGGTAAGACTGAGTTAATTTCCATCGCACAAGTCAACAATCAGCTGCTCGCATACTAATTGATTTTCCCTTCTAGATAGATACCATCTAAGCCACAGGATAAAACTGTTTATATGCTTATTTACTGTATATTCTTCTTTACTGGTTCTCCATTAACTGTCTCCACTCCGCACGTTTTGGGATTGTGCTCTTCCGTTTTAGAGTTTCCCTGGCTTCACAGATGCACCCAATTTTATTTCTTCTCTCTCTCTCTCTCTCTCTCTCATTTTGTGTGGGTAGGCTCCTCAGGGGGTTCACGTCGTTTGCAAGAAGTTCCCAAGACTTACAATTGTGACATCAGAGATAGAAAGCGGCTTGAATGAAGAATTCCGCGTGATTCCTGGAATGGGCGAGTTTGGAGATCGTTACTTTGGAACTGACGCCTGTTAGGCATCATAATAAACCCTTGTTGTGTGGTGAGGGCATAAACCCAGGTGAGTTTCGACCATTCTTCTCCATTTCCCTTGGAATTTTTTTAACATACGTCCTGAGGTCCGAAAACCTTGAGATAATCTCGAAAATATCAGACGAAACCTTTTTTTTCCTCTCGAGCACTGAAACTAGCCCACCTCTAAAATTTCTCTAAAATGGACGAGTTCCGACAGCCCAATTGCCTTTCCTTGATTCAGCATGGCCTCTCTCATCTGTGTTTCTCCTCAGCTCCCAGACTTACTGCCCAGTGACCCGTCATCACTGGGCAACCTTGCCTCCCTGGAAAAGGCAGAATAGCATTAAGAAGACACGCATGCATGTACATAATATCAATTGTCTTACATTATGTTCAGAACCCCATAAGGGATAAATAGTGTGGCACATTCATTCATCATGCTTGCTGCAGATATGGCGACGGATGCCACCACACTCCCACTGCTTCTTCCGCTTGGCCCCGTTTGCCCCACCTTGGTTTCAGTTTGCCTCCTCGTTCTCTCAAATAGAATTTCTGCTCCCATTCCTTCCAATGTATTCATGGAGCACTAAATCGAATCAGCAGCAGGTTCATCTCTCTCTCTCTCTCTCTCTCTCTCTCCCCCTCTCTCTCTCTCTCTGCTGCAAACTGCCATGTGCGTCACGCTTTTGTGCAATGTTTGTTGGGAACTCACATTTTTCTCGAAATATTTGCATAAAAAGATAGTTGCCCAGCATGGAGCATGGGTTTAATGCCCCGGTAAAATCTCTCTAGCACTACACGGTTCCTTGAGAGGTGCGATCATATTCTGTTTGCCTTCTCGAACGCAAGTCAACTGCTATATTTTTGCATCTAGAAGCAGCAGAAGCATAACTATGTAGAGAGAGAGAGAGAGAGAAAGACGCTCACTTACAATTAATTGGTTGTAATAGATATATAAAAAAGCATAACTTTATTTTAGTGGTAAATAGGTTAAAAAATAAGAAATTAAAAATGATTATGAATACATTGTCTGTGTAATTCATGAATTAACTGGAAAATAAGTTCCCTACTATAATTGTGACAGATTATTAATTATATTCTTAGACACCGCACTAGTGACTTTCTTTCTGAAGCATATATCAATACAGTATTCGTAATATTCTGTAAAATAGGTATGTTCTCTCTTTTATTACACTGAGAAAGTAAGCATGTTTCCTTCGGCCAATAAGAGCATATGACTATCTTTTAAAAAAAATCAGACGAAATCTCATGAATTAAAAAACTAATATTTTTCCCAATTAACCTTCAGGTATTTAATCACAATTTTCAAGTGGTCTACAAAGACCTACAGGATGGATCAAGTGAAAAGACGAGTGAAGTATCCTTATACACTGTGGTTCATTGGGATCAATATCTAAATGACCTCATAAATAATAACAATTCATTCGAGAAGAAAACTTCAATAAACTATCTAATATCAAATGTATCCCTAAAATTTTAATCATCCTCATAAAAATTCTCTAACCATTGCAAAACCCAGCAGCACGATCTTTGGGTGTTTGGATTCAGATAAGCACCGGATGCACCCATGTCCCTACCCTCATATACTGTGTTCTGTGCGGCACATAGAGAGCATCCCCATAAACCAAATTTCATATGAAAATCAAGCTTAAACCGTGAACATTGATTCACTCCATGTAACTCAATCACGATCAACAGGACAAGTTTTTATCACACAAAAGAGAGGAAGAAAAATACAGACTATATTTTACGATCAATTGCTGCTGCGATTCCAGGGATTAATACAGAGAAGTGAATTCCGTTCGTTTCTCACTTTATCAGATAGAGAGTAAAAGAATGCACCCAACTGAATGTAAGAAGAGGCGGGGGGGGAGGGGTGATAGTGCAGAGCAGACTTATGGAAAGTTTTTGAGAGAGAGAGAGAGAAGCTCTGAACATCAAATCCCGTGGGCAGGGAGACTATAGAAGACTACACACGTAATTTACAAGTGACAAAGTTATATTTCTGTGACAGAAAAAGGAAGGATTGGGAGCAGGGGCTGTAGTATTAGTGACAACACCTCTGGCAGTGTACAAGCGGCTCTCAGTATCCTACAGGGAGCAATCTCTGTTTCAAGCGTGAGATCAGTTTGAACTTTTCCTCTGCCTCCACCTGCTCTCGGATGTCGGTCTTCGATGCACGGTCTGGATGGAATCTAAACAGGGCCTGCTTAAATGCAGCATTGACCTAAGACAGTCAAGAGAAAAAGGTCAACTTTTCTATGCAGCAGATAGTTTCTCTCATTTTATTTGCTACTTCTGTCAGACAGTCCAAACAACGAGGGATGGATGCTTCAGAACTAAATTTCAATGAAATGGAAATTAGTGCCTGAAAAAAAATTAATCGACATAAATTAGTGATTTCGACGGTTTAATCAACATATTAAGACGCAGGATAATAGACTATCACGAACGTACATATAATACAGAATGGGGTTACTAACTTTACATGAATTATTAAAAAATTACAATAATCAAAGTCAACCCGAGACAATCATGCAAAAGTGTACTCGGTAAGACTAGACTTACTTATTTTTGCAATTTTGACTAGGTTTGGGATAATGGGAAGATACATTGTATCTATGGGCTTAGTAGAGTTCCAAGATTAGTATACTACATTCTAGAATTTATTTATTTTTTTCAAAAACCACAAAATCAAGTAATAATTGATGAGTATCTGCATGACTCAAAACATAAATTGCCTTTAGATATTTAGTTTTTTAGTCTTCCGATTATGATGTTGTCTGAACTGGATTGGAACACTCCCAAATAGTCTTTTTGACATTCCACTGACTCCATTTTACTCGGTAAAAGAATGCAGCAAATTCCAAAATTGGAAAAATAACTGAAGCTATCCATTACGCTGAGGAACCACAGAAAAATTCGTTTACCTCACAAGACATAGGATAGGCTCCGCCTCTGACATTGACACCCAGGGCACGAAGCAGAGAAGCCATATCTCTGTGTTTCAATTCCAAACTCTCCAGTTCCTTCCTAACCATTGCACGCATATTATCTTTTAAATCAATAGTCTCCTCATCCTGGAATGGTCACAACTTTATTGGGGTTAGGGCCTTTCAGACTATATTGAACTGTGAACAAGCGGCAGAGAAAGAACACAAAAAATACGGCCAAAATAACGAAATATTTGAGACTTTATGACAATATGAAATAATAGGTTGAATGAGGAAAGTAAGTGGATTCCAAACCCGTTTCAGAGATTCACGTATTTCTTCAACGCGTTGCTTTTGTCTTCTCTCCATATCTAGTAAACGCAAAGTTTGGGCCTTTTTTCTCTTCCGCAGCCTTTGTGCTTCCTCTGCCTGTACATAAATAGGTCAATTAATGAGTTATTATCTTTTAAGAGTGAAAGAAAGGACATTGCAAAAGGGGAAAACTCATAAATTAAATGTGACATATGAGGATTAATATCAATGTAAATATCATTTAAAGAAATATATTGGGACTAAGATTTTCCACATGAACAGAAATTCTAAGAATTATTGCCATAAGTGGAACTAACAAAGTTGGACAGAACAAGACATATTATGGGATTTCTCCAGAAAGACCTGGGTTGAACCCTGCAATGGCACCATCAATGAATATTGAAAGTCTGACTAATATATATAACAATGTGCTCTGATCTCTCTAAAATATGGGAGAGAGAAGTTTTGTAACAAATGCTCTAGATCAAAGAAAAATTCAATAATAAAAAACTTAAATTAAAGGGCCACATAAAAGAAAAAGGCCTTAAAAAAGATAACCATGTCCATTAATTATAAACAACACTGGGGGCATGACAATGGTCTAGTTCCCATGTTGACATCATCACACACGCACCTCCTACCCCCCCCCCCCCGGGGCAATTCACGTTCAGCTGCTAGGAATACGTCATTTTCTGCTGAAACCGCAGCTTGAGCTAAATCTTGGTTAAAAAAGTAATCATAGAACCCTAGGCTTCTTAGAAATCTTTTAGCTTCCGGTTCCATACTTCCCCAATTGAAATCCCCAACATAAAATGGCCCACAAATAGCACACGATGGCAATTTTTCCAAATACACAGTCAACTTATTCTGTGACAAAGAGACAGAGAACACTAAATTTTAAGCGCATGTTTTATGCAGTTCATGGACGCAAGAAGTTGTTTCAGTGGCAAAAATAGGAAGATCCCTTTCAACCAAGCATGTAGCTGTAGTCTTCTAGCACAGCACATTTATGCCAGCAAACGTGAAGGCTTCCTCACTGTTTGCCCAGGGACATCTAGAGAGGAAATATGTTTCTTGATGGCCACATACTAAAGAGAACTGTTTGTTAGAATTAGATTGCAGAAAAGTTTTTCCTGAAAACTGACATCAGCATCACGCCTTTCCTTGACAACTGAAGCTAAGAGTTTGATTCTGTCCATTGCCTAAATAAATAGGTTAAGGCAAAAAAAAATCCCTTTTCTGTTTCTTCCTTACTTCTCAGGAATAACGCATTTCATTATCACGTCTCTTATGCATGCTACATAATGAATAACTTCCGATCTTATTCTTCCAATTAACGAAAGAAAAGCATAGTTCAACTCCTGTCTTCAACCGTCATCCTTTCAATAGTCGGTGGTATCCCATATTTATTGCATACTCAAAAGAAAAGGGATGTAAAAAACGCTGAATTTTCAAAAGAACCTTGATTTGATGACACTGGCTTATTGCCCTATTTGAAGAGTAATCAGAGGGCAAAATCATTCGGGTCTGACAAAGGAAATAAATCGCAGGGACAAGACCATAATTATAAATGGTTAACAGACTTCCATCCGAATGGCTCAAACAACAAAGAGGCGTGGCACATCCATTCTCTCCATCCAGTGAGTTGGACCTGTGATAATAACCTAGAAGGGCTACTGCAACTTGATAAGAATCTGATTAATACGAATGGCAATAGCAGAAACGACACAACAGGAAGGTAACAAAGTCTTGGGTCTATTTCTGCACTGATTTATTCAACAGATAGTTCGTAATCATGAATCACAGGAACATGTTTCTGACAAGGCAAAGATCATTAGAGGACAAAAAGGAGTAACAGTTCCTCTCTGGATATCACTTCAGGAGATCATATGAAAGAAAATCTAATAGTTTCCCTAACAAGATCAATTTGACTGGTGGTGGATGTCAAATCATGACTACTCATTTTCGGTTACCGCCAATAAGAAGATTTCATTAATGATCCAGAACACAATACACTAAGTCATCCCATTATTATCCAGTAATACAAATCTCAATGAGCATAGCTCATTTTAGAAAATTAACCCCGTAATCACTAGGTCATTTTCAGCCGTCACACAAAAAACTAGCAACATACAAAAATAGAAATGTTACTCATTCCCATGGTTTTCCTCTGACATTTTACATGCCATGGTGACTAGCAACATTTTTATGATATATATACCACGACGTTTCCAAGTTTTTTTCCCAGTTCTTAACCGAAGGCACTAAACACAGATGGTAAAAAGTCACCAATAAATACTAAGTGATTCGACCACCAACTAAAAACAGAAAAGGTTCAGAACATATGAAGCTAAGGAAGAAACATATTGGCATAGGGTACTACAACACAATAAATGACAACAAGATTCAAATCTGCTAGAGCTAGGCACAATGATAGACAGGCATATAGGCGTGCATTGTTACAACAGAAACCTGGATTTTTATTTGTTGCCGCCTGGATGCCCATTCTTCTTCTTCAGCAAGTCTGTATCCCTCAGACTGTTTGTGCTTATCCCGGTCACCAATTATATCACTCTGACAATCTGACATCCGATCCATCATTTCAAGATTTGATTGTTCAAATACTCGAGGATTCATTTCTTCTTTTATGATGTTCTGTAATGTTCCTTGAGAAGCAGACGTGCGTCTAAGTTTTCTTGAATGGGGTTCTAACGATGAAAGATGATCATTGTCGCAAGGAGATGAGTTTCTACATCTAAGTACATCCTCATCCTGATGTTTATCTTGAACATCTGACATTGGAATAGAAACATTCTCCCCGTCTGCCACTCTAACTACATTACTATGACCATTCAGACCATGCTCCATTGTTGTATTAAAAGGAAAACATTTTCGAACTGAAGAATCTTGACCGCAAGAATTGCTTGTGACCTTATGACCAAATGATTTCGTAGGATGGGCTTCAGTCCCACACATGCTCTTAGAAAATGGTTCAGTTTTATCTTGAGACCCAGACCCTAGATCGCTAGCTTCTCCAACTGAATGGTCTACAATTCCATTATTGCGCATCCTTGTAGAATCAAAGGATGTTTGTCCAGTGAAATCGTCAGTTGTGCATGGAACATGCAGATCATCCTCTCCATTGACTGGATTTTCACTGGTTCCTTCTTTTCTAGGCGACAGACATGTCTCACCACTGGTTTTTTTCACCAAGTTGACCTTTTCCCGAGAAGTTTCACTGTGAACCCCATGTTCGTTTTGAGATCCAAAAACACCTGATCCCTTCTTTGACCCCGCATGGTTCATCTCCTTTTTCTTCATTAAATAAGCCTTTTCCCACTCTTTACGAATATTTCCAGATAAATCATCCATAATTTCACAGTCGCTGTCACTGTCACTGTCACTGTCACTGTCACTGTCTGCTACTGAGGCATTAAACATCCACCTAGGAGAGTCAACACGAACTTTCCCCTTGAGCACCTGACACTCGTCACTGTCAGATTCTACAGGAAAATGTGATTCAGATGAAGAAAAATGGCAAGTCTTGCTTGCCGTAGTACTCTGATCAGCATTTCTAAATCCGAAGTAATTGCCATTTTCTTCATCTATAATAATTACTCTACTTGGGAAACATTTTTTGTTGGGTTTCAATGATGCCGTTGAGTGTCTAGATCTCTGATTTGAGCATTCTGGAGCATCAACAATAACGACATCAATTTTTCTTCCGTCCATATCCATACTAATCACATTGCTGTTGTTATTTCGGTTGCATCTCCCAAGGGTTGTCTTTGCAGACTGGGTTTTTGGGTTACATTGTTCCCTGAACATTCTTCCGAACAAACCTTCATCCATTCAATAAGTCAATGGCAATGTCATAATCCACTTCTGCCCTCCAAAGGTACCAAATTAGACATGGCTCCAGGAAATTTTTCTTTTTTTATAGAGTTTTGTTGTCAGTCCTGTCAAATGCAAACAAAAAAAAGAGCATTAAATCATACATAAAACGGAACAAAAATATGCTATATGAAAGACAAGAAGATATCTAAAAGATGAAAAACTTCATAATCAAAACATTTTCAACAAGATGAATGCAGTTTTCTACAACATTAATGTAGAACCTCACAAAAAGAAATGAATAGTAACATAAAAAAGAAACAAAAAAAGTAAGACAGGCATAAGATCAAGCAATATAGTAATATATTTCGAACATTATAGGCCCATCCAAGTCATGGCAATATTGCCTCATATGGGTATGGGCCCTATCAGCCCATCTACGTCCCTTGAGACTCTAGTGTAAATACCAAAGTCTCTCGATTATGGTTTGAGTCAAGTTCTTTCCCTCTACCTCCCCCCCCTCTCATCTGTGTACTCTCTATTTCTATCGTGGTATGAGAGTAGGGTTCTGTCCAGTGGAAACCCTAGAGGTGGGGCCAGTCGTCCTCCACCCACCAACACCCTTGTTGAGTGTCAAGAAAAAATGAAATTTCAAAAGTTTAGTTATAATGTATATAATGTAATAATTAATTAATACAACCTTTTTCTAACTAGAATTTTTAGTCTAATCATAGTACTTCATTTATGTATTTTTTATATTATTTTGTTCCCTTAAACCCAAATTTCTATTTCTATTCTACCAATAAATTTTGATCTAATGCTAGCAGGTACAAATCCAGCTAATGTTAGCAGGTACAAATCCTTTCATCCCTATCAATTACTTATCGTATGAACATGAGCTATAGGAAGTCTTATTATGCTCAAATATGTATGCGTCTAGATACTACATACATTGTTAGAATGTTGGACACATACTTAAGCAATCAAAGTGTGAATCACTAGAGAGCAATAAAATGGTCATCTAGTGCCTCTAGAAGACAAAGAATTATATGCTCATATACAAGAAATCAAATCAATTAAAGATCATTAGGTATCCTAATTTTATTTTACTATGGGTTATATCTACTTACTAGTGCAATAACAGATATCCACTATGGGTTATATCTACTTACTAGTTAGAGGAACTATATCATAGAAGAGTACTAAACAGACACTTATAACTTCTTCCATCATAACAATTGAACTTATAATGCACTATGATGCATCTAACCAAAGAATGTGACTGCATAACTGTTAAAATATTATGTGATAATAAGGCAATCATTGTGTATTCCAACAATGTGATATGAGCTTTTGAGAAAGTCTTAGTTGTTAAAAAAAGGTTTAGAGTGACCAAGTGTCTATAGCACATATTTGGCCAAACTCTATGATTGCAAATCCCCTTACTAAGAGACTGTTACCAAAGGTTTTCCATGAGCATATACTGCTCATATGAGAGTAATTCTTCATAAGGATATATAATTTCACATAGAAGCTGTATAAGGATGCTCATTTGGTTATAGACACCCCCTCCAATAAGAATAAAGTTTAAAATTTACTCCCACTGAATTTATTTAGTTGATCTCTACTCAAAATGAAAGGGGCCAATTAATAATATACATGTTGAAGCACACTACACATAATTTTCATGCTACACATCCATACTTAATCTATGTCATTTAATATATCAATATATTTGATTATTATTGGGTCTAGTTGCACACAAATGTAACGAAAGCCTCTCTAGTCTTTTATGGATATGATGATGGACGAAATTGTTGGAAATATCTTCAATAATGATAGTAATATTGAGCTCACAAAATCACAATATATAATATCAAGTTATCATATTCATCTTGTCTAAATAGGAGATCGCTGAATTTGATCTCAAAGTGGACACATATATATGAATTATATATTATGGGGTTATCATTAAGTTAATCCTACTAAAGTGATTTACTAAGATTTAATAAGGGATTATAGCAATGGACTGCATTAGAAATTGACATTGAGAACTACCTCAAGGCTATAAAGGGTCGTACCCTTGGATCACACACTGCCAGAGTTACTTCTAAAGTATCACATCACTCCATGAGGAAAGTCATTAGGTTCTAACAATTCTAGTTTGATGATCCAAAAGACTAAAACCAAGAGGTTCAGATTTGGATCGAAATGTACTCTAATTCGGTTTCTTTCAATTCATTCTCACTCTCATTATCATTCTCTAGGACTCAACATTAGATTCTGTACTTTGAGTATCAAATCCAACAATTTCAAGAATGTATGATTTGACTATTGAATATTATTGTTTGAAGCAAGTGATAATCTTGAGTGAATATTTTAGTGAGGTGACGCAACTGAGTGATGATCTTCTTACTTTATTATCCATCTCTCATGATATTCAAATGATGCAAAAACATTGTGTGCAAATGATTGTCCTAAAGTTTCTTGGAAAACTTCAAGCACAATATGAAGGTGTTCATAATCAAATTCTATTTAGAGTTGAGTTACTATCACATGACTATCTAAGGCTTTTCTAGACAAAGAAGGTCCACAAACGACTTCAGCAACTAGTGAGACAATTTCATGTCTCACTAGTTGGCTGAGAGGTGGAGGTAGAAGCACCAGTGGACAGCAAAGTCCTGAGTGCACTCATTGTGGAAGAAAGGGTCACACTAGAGATACCTAATATGACTTGCATGGACATCCTCCTAAAGCAATCAATGTAGCTGCTTCAAGAGAGGGGGAGAATAGAGTTACTCAACAAATGATATTGTCAACTAGGGAGTACACTCAAATCCTCTAGTCTCATGCAACTCAGTAGGCCTCATCAATAGTTGCATCTCTCATTCAAACAGAAACCACTACTTGTATTTCTCAAACATATCATATCTCCATTAGTGAATCGCCACCTTGGATTCTTGACTCTAGTGCTTTTGATCATATAACAAATATATCTGGTAAGTTTACACCCTATTCCAATCTTGGATTGTAAAAATCATATTCTTTCTTTGCAACATCTAATTCACATGGTTTCGTAATTTCTCTTTTCATTTCTTTCATTAAAAGTTCTTCTGTCCTTATTTGAATTTATATTGTTTTTAACATTCATCCTACAACATTGAAAATTCGGTAGGCTTGCTGCTGGAGCCGAGTCATATGTGCTTTAATATCACGGATCAAAGGAAGGAATCTAAAACAATATCAAACTCAAACAAGGTATCTAATACTAGTTGAACAGTGACATGTATGGCACTATACTTTCACTCCATTATAAGTTTTTTCTGATTTTTGATCCACACTGTTAAAAGCTTCTTTACTTTCAATTGATGAAGCTTTTTCTTTCTTTCTTGCCCCAAGTTAGAAAATCACTCTCCTTCAGTGGAACTAGAGTAATTTTCTTACCATTTCTATGAAGCAAATAAAAATTCTTTTTGCAATGATAAGTGAGAACTATGTAAACAATCAAGGACTTCCAAAAATCATGTGACAAACATTCATGTAAACCATGTCACATTGAACTTCATCAAAGTACATTTTGCTAACTGAAAATTTCAAACAAGTTTTTTTGACATTTGTTTCAGAAAATTTTCTGATCCACCTGATTTTATGAGAACGTGGGTGTTTCTCAACTTTAGGCCTAACTTTTGAAACATAGTTGAAGTAATATAATTTTCACCATTACAACTATCAACGATAACATCACACAGCTTTTGACTAACTGTCCTATCATTCTGAAAATACTGTGAAGCTCAAACTAATCTTCTACTTATAGTGCAACCACAAACTTTTTCACAACCAGTAAATTAGAGTGTAACTCCTTGTTATGATCTTCTATAAATTCTTTGTCAAACCTATTACTCATTACCAGATCCGATAAATTCTTCTTAGTAAAATTTTCATTCAATGTGTGTCTCTGTGTAGAGTTTCAACACTTGACTTTAGGATGAAATCTTTCACTTGATGCCAAAAGTCTCTGAAACCTTGTTTTGATACCAATTGATGGACTTGGAGTTGGGTGAAAAGGAAATTTCGTCATTAAATCCATATGACGCAGAATTTGAATGAAGAAACTATGTTTAGAATCCACATAACTTTGAGCCTTCAATCCTAAAATCTGTAAGTACCCTTGAATCCACAAGGATCAAATATTTCCCTGACGTCAAAAGGAGGCACTTGAATCCATAAGTCGAGGGAGGAGAAACCTTGGAGATGAGAACTTCATACTAACTCATAATGCTTTTAGGATTACAACATGGGGGCCTTTACATAGGTCAAATTTCGCTGGGGTGCCCTTAAAAAGACATCAGTTTGAACAAAAATTTAAAACTGAATCAAAGCACTTTAAAACCACTCTTTAAAACAATCCTTCAAAATAGCAGTTTAAAACAGATTCAAAATACACTAAAAGTGGGAAGATCAACTTAACAAATCTCTAAAACGCTTCCCACACATTTTGTTAAAGGCCTAATCTGATTTTGGGCCATCTAATCCTTGTTACCCATCCTTCAAACTTCCGGAACACTTGGCCCACCAGTTTTGGGCTACCTGGGACAAAAACTTTTTATCTTCTTTTTTGGAAGTGATGTCTTACATCAGATATCTTGACATTCAAAAGAATAGAAATGTTGTTGCAACTGATACCAAAATATGTACCAAGAAAGATAAGTGATGAGAGTTCAACCTTGAAAAAATAATTTCAAACCTCTTCAAAGCAGTAAAATATCCTCACATCATCATTGCTAAAGGTTTTAATAACAGGCTGATGAGAAAGAACAAGGATTGATGACTAAGGCTTTGGTAATCTTGATAGAGTTTTAGGAAGGGGCCAGATTATGGATGATATTTAAACGATTTTTCAGCTCACAAAAAAAAAGGTCAGTGTGTCACATTGAAATCAAAATATTTGAAACATAGACTACCATTTACCCCTCATCAACACTTGTTATGTGGAGATGACATATGTTGATGAGCAAAGCATTTGGAAACAATAGACGACCTTGACACATATAGCCTTCTACTATTAACAAGAAAAAGACATTAATACACAACATATTACACTAACCTAGGAACCCATCTTATCACGAAGAATTCTTCATGTTAATGTAAATAAGGCTCCACATCAACTTGGGAGTCAACCAAAGCTTATTGACCCCTTTCAAAAGCCAAATTCATTAAAGAAGATGAAGTCTTGGCTCCTCTTTAGTCAAAATCGTACGATATGTGGTGAAGGATGAGGGTAGCTCCTTCCCACTAAATGAGGGACCAGAAAAAGTAGGTTGTGGCCCAGGGATGGGAGCCTGCCAAAGGGGTGTGGTCATGTAACAGAAAAAGGGGTTTAGGGGATGGACGAAGGCAAAGTCTAGCATAGCTAGGAGTTGGTCACCTCTCCATACAGAACGTTAGTTTTATGAAACTCCACGCCATTTAAATGTTATCAGAGATGTCAATAGTCATAATCGCCTCCAAAAATAGCACAAAACGGTGCCCAAGAAAAAACAACAAGGAGAAAACCTGAACGAGAAACCATCAAAGAAACTACTAGCAATATTTGAGGCAAAGATGTGACACTCGAAATGAGAGAAATGGGGTAGACTCTTGATGTAGATGGGATTTCTGAGAGCATGCAGAATACATGAATCCCTGCCTTAACTTTTGCTACGATGAATTAAGGATTACATAGAATCCACTTTCCAAAAAAAACTTTGCAAGGAAAATGACATGAATTAATTTACGGTTGGTATCCTCTACATTTCTCTTTCCAACGATGAATGAATATGAACTTTCGTAACTATATTCTATATCTGTTGATAGTTGAGCAAAAATATCCACAGACTTCCACCTCTGGTGTCCGATAAAATAGGAACCAGCATTTAAATTGAACTGATAATACTTGTCAAAGAAGCTTCTCTGTCCACTTGTACGTATAGTTCGTAGGAGAAAATTTCTCTAGAAATAATTGTTTATTAACTCTCACAAATTATAAAGCCGCAATCATAATATAAAAAAGGGAACGGATAAGATGGACGAATCGTAAATCGAAGGAACAAAAAGATGGTACAAACGAATGAAAACTTCCAATGGGTGAGAGATCCGAAATATGACAACGAAACTAAAGAATAATACACACTCGGAGAAAGATAAAACCCTAGGTCCCAACCGAAAAAGGAAAACAGCAATCACATCAGCGAGTCAGAGAATTCATCCCATCTTGCCGAATTAATCCGAATCCCAAACCGGAAATCTTACCCCTGCCCAATCGAACCATTTTTCAACGCTACAGAGGTACGAAGAACAGAAAAAAGCGTAGGAAGATCACGTACAGTGAGAAACAGAGAGAGAGAAAGAGGGTTACCGGGAATCAAAGAGGAATCGTCTTTCTCACTGCTGGGCACTCGATATCCCAAGGCGGCGATGATTGCGGCGGAGGCGGCGGAGGCGGCACCTGCTGTGGCTTCTCTTGCCCGGCGCCGGTTCCCCCCCTCTTCTCCTTCCTCCGCCACTTGCTCAAGGCCTGCTCCTTCACCCTCGACCATAAATCTTCTCATCAAAGGTTCGTACTATGTCCACAATTTATACTTGCCGACTACCGAATCGTTGACCATTTGGTATCCTCAACCCTATCGAATCATTTCAGTTTCGGTTTCCGAACGGATCCATCAACGCGCATCCCGCCACCAGTCCGATAGTTTTCAATAATTTCCCTTATAAAAAAAAATCACGTAAATAGATGCCTTCCTCAAATCAACTCGTGAAAAAAAAAACCATAATTCTGATGAAAAATGAAAAATAGGGACTAATTAACCCATTAATCCATGTCCGTGGAGCAATCTAATGGGCCGAATATTGAGCCCATTAACGCGTTTTCTCTCTCAGCAAGCATTGGGCCCATTTTAGTGGTCCGTCGTCACGGTGGCTACGCGGCCCCTGAGGCGTGGCAGACGTTAGTTAAGCCACGTCATCATGAAAATTGCATCTTCCTACACGTGTCCTCTCCGTCGCATGACCCCTCCTTTTGGGACCAGCATCACCTCCCTTCCTTCTCCCTCTTCTTCGTCTTCTTAGTCTTCTTCTTATTCCTCAGACGACGGACTGAGTCTAGCGCCGGCAATGGATTCGGAGGCGCCGCCGATCGAGGACGGCGATGGCGGGGATAAGCTGAAACGGCTCTCCTCCAATGCCTTTTCGCTCTCTTCGATCAACCTGCAGAAGTTGCCGCACCTCTGCGACTACCTGCCAGATCTCTCCATGCGGCAGAACCCGATCGACAACAGCCCCTTCTATCACCCACGGCCTAGCTTCTACGTCAGCTCCTCCGAGGTCATCCTCCGCCACATCCTCTTCGACCTCTCCGGTGAGTACTTCCCCTCCCCGAACCGCCGCCTCCTGGCCTACCACCGCGCGGGGCCGAGGGAGACGGTCTTCTTCGAGCCGGCGGCGGTGCGAGCGGCGATCGTTACCTGCGGAGGCCTCTGCCCCGGCCTGAACACCGTGATCCGCGAGCTGGTGGTGGGGCTCTGGGACATCTACGGCGTGAGGGAGATCTACGGCATCAGGGATGGCTACAGAGGCTTCTACTCCTCGGAGCCCCTCCGGCTAGATCCCAAGGTCGTCGACGGCTGGCACAAGAGGGGTGGCACAGCGCTCGCCACTTCCCGTGGCGGCTTCGACCTCGAACGGATCGTCGCCGCTGTCGAGGCCCGCGGTTTTAACCAGGTGAGCAAGGATCCTCCTCCTCTCCTCCTCCTCCTCCTCCGCTGCCGCCGTCGCTGGCGGCGCCGGCCGATTCGCCGGCGGCGGCAATGATGATGTTTCTGGGCTTCTTCTTGTTCTTTTTTCTTCCTTTCTCGCTCGATTTTATTGTGAGTTTTTCCTTTGGGGATGGAAGATCTTTATCATCGGCGGGGACGGGAGCATGAGGGGGGCAGCAAAGATCTTCGAGGAGGTGAGGCGGCGCCGCCTGAAGGTGGCGGTGGCGGGGATCCCGAAGACGGTGGACAACGACATCGGCATCATCGACCGGTCCTTCGGCTTCCAGACGGCGGTGGAGACGGCGCAGCAGGCCATCAGCGCCGCCCACGTAGAGGCCGAGAGCGCCGTCAACGGCGTCGGCCTGGTGAAGCTCATGGGGCGCAGCACCGGCCACATCGCCCTCCACGCCACCCTCAGCAGCTGCGACGTCGACTGCTGCCTCATCCCCGAGAACGGCTTCTTCCTCGAGGGCCCCGGCGGCCTCTTCGAGTTCCTCCGCCACCGCCTCCGGCAGAACGGCCACGCCGTGGTGGTGGTGGCGGAGGGCGCCGGCCAGGACCTCATACCACCGCCGCCGACGAAGGAGAAGGACCCGTCGGGGAACGTTGTCTTCTCCGACATCGGCGCCTGGCTGAAGACGGAGCTACGGCGGTGGTGGGAGAGAGACTTCTCCGGGGAGCTCTTCACGGTGAAGTACATCGACCCGACGTACATGATCAGGGCGGTGCCGGCGAACGCCACGGACAACCTTTACTGCACTTTGCTGGCTCACTCGGCGATCCATGGCGCCATGGCCGGCTACACGGGCTTCGTCTCGGGGCCGATCAACGGCATCTACGCGTACATCCCGGTGGAGGAGGTGGCGGAGGCGAGGAACCTGGTCGACACCAGCGACCACAAGTGGGCGTGGGTCAGGTCAGTCACCAACCAGCCCGACTTCTCCAGGGACAGTGGGGCCTAACATAGATAACTGGGAGATTATGAAATTCGTGGAGATTGGTGGTGGCTGCTGGCTTGAAGTTGGCGTTTTTTTTTTTTGCTTTCTAATGTAATGATAACAATGAAATACCGGGTTTCGATAGAGAGTCTGAAGGTGAGAGAAAGGGGACACCAAGAGAGAGAGAGAGAGAGAGAGAGTAAGATAGTGGGAAAGTCTCCAGTCTATGCGAGTGTCTGAGTAAAATTACCTTGTTTTTAAGAGAAAATGCAACCTTTTAACTAGGGTTAGGTTTTTTAAATTTATTTGAGCGTCATATATATACTTTTTAATATAAAATAATAATTAAAACATGAAGGCTGGTAACCGGCTAAATTAGGCTTTTGGCTTTTTATGTTATAATAATCATAATGAAAATGTGATTTGGTAACGGGGGCCGTTGTCAGCTGTCTCATTTGGAGAGAGAATCTATCTTACATTTTCACAATGCAACCTTTAAACTAGGGTCAGGTTTTCTGAAATTTATTTCTCTGAATAATTCAATAATTATCGATCTATTTTAATATATATATATATCTTCTCATATAGCTTCTTACATTTTTTTACGAATATTAGTGGATTTAATCATGAAAATGTATGCATATATAGTACCCCTATCTCATAGGTTTTTTGCTTTTGATATAATAATAAAAAAATATTGAGTTTGGAGAAAATAACCAGCTAAGATACAATACAACCTTTTAATTATGGTCGTGTTTTGGAGAAACCCAACCGGGCATCATATGTACCTTTCTATGGATATTAATAATTAAATAATTATGGAGTTATCTTTTTCTAAAAATATGTTCACATATACCTTCTTACACATACTTATTTCTTCGAATATTTTTGGATTTAATAATTCCAAAAAATGAATGCTTGCACATACATTTAACCCCTCTCTCACAGGTCGAAAATGTTAAGAAATCAATTATCTCGTATTTATATTGTTGAGCCCATAAATTTTTAAAAAAACCCATTATGTTTGAAGAGAGAGAGAGAAGAGAGAGAGAGGAACGGGGCTCCGAGCGCTTAAGTTTGAAAAGGACCGTCCTTTCCTTAAAGACAAATACGCATCCGCCACAGACCGAATGAAAGCTCACTCCCACCGGTGGGTTTCACAACTTTCCCACTCTGCAACCGACATCGCCGCCCAATCTTCACACACACCAGCCGCCCCGGGCGGCATGGCTGGAGCCCATTTCCCTGCCGCCGCCCTCTTCCTCCTCCTCGCCGCCGCCGCCCTCCGATCGATCCCCCCGGCGAGCGCCGCCGTGGGCGTCAACTGGGGGACTCTGCAGTCCCACAAGCTCTCCCCTCCCGTGGTAGTGAATCTCCTCCGGGACAACAAGATCGGGAAGGTGAAGCTCTTCGACGCCGATCCTCAGATTCTGGGGGCGCTGAGGGGGAGCCGCATCGAGGTGATGGTGGGGATCCCAAACGAGATGCTGGCGGCGCTCGGCTCCTCTCCGGCGGCCGCAGACTCCTGGGTCGCCCACAATGTCTCGAGATATACAGTCAAAGGCGGCGTCGATATTAGGTGTCGCTGCCCCTCCTTCATCTTCCCCATTCTTCTTATCCAGAAATTCATCTCCTTTCACAATCTTCGTCTTCTCTCCTTCATCGTCGCCCTGTTCAATTCGAACGGTCCTCTCCGATTCACCGATTCCTGAGGAAATTTCTCTCGATTACGAGCAGATACGTCGCCGTCGGGAACGAGCCCTTCCTGGCCAGCTACCAGGGCAAGTACCAGCCCTTCGTCCTCCCGGCGTTGGCGAACCTGCAACAGTCCCTGTCCAGAGCGAATCTCGCGGGCTTCGTCAAGCTTGTCGTCCCCTGCAACGCCGACGCCTACGAGGGCCCCACCCCCTCGCAGGGGACCTTCCGACCGGAGCTCGCTCCGGTAATCTCGGAGCTCGCCGCCTTCCTCTCCTCCAACGGCTCCCCCTTCGTGGTCAACATCTACCCCTTCCTCAGCCTCTACCAGAGCGCTGACTTCCCCCAGGACTACGCCTTCTTCTCCGGGTCAACCCATTCGGTCACCGACGGGCAGAGCCTCTACTCCAACGCCTTCGACGGCAACTTCGACACCCTGGTCGCCGCCCTGGCGAGGATCGGCTACGGGCAGTTGCCGGTTATCGTCGGGGAGGTCGGCTGGCCCACCGAGGGCGGCGGCGCCGCCGCCAACCTCTCCGCCGCCAGGGCGTTCAACCAGGGCCTAGTGAACCACATCCTCAGCGGTAAGGGGACCCCTCTCAGGCCCAACTCGCCGCCGGTGGACGTTTACCTCTTCAGCCTCCTGGACGAAGATCAGAAGAACGTTCTTCCGGGGAACTTTGAGAGGCACTGGGGGATCTTCTCCTTTGACGGCCAAACAAAGTACCCTCTGAATTTGGGAAGAGGGAAGCTGAGGAACGCTGAGAAAGTCAACTACTTGCCGGCGAGGTGGTGCGTGGCGGACCCATCGAAGGAAATCCTCTTCTCCGGCGGCGGCGGCGGCGGCGGCGCCGCTGCCCATCTGGAGAGGGCCTGCAGCGCCGCCGACTGCACCACCTTGCTTTACGGAGGGTCCTGCAATGGGATTGGCGAGGAGGGGAACGTCTCCTACGCCTTCAATAGCTTCTACCAGTTGCAGAGGCAGGAAGAAAAAAGCTGTGATTTTGATGGGTTGGGGATCGTCACCTTCTTGGATCCCTCAGTGGGTGCTTGCCGGTTCCTGGTGGGGCTCAGCGACAGCAGCTGCTCTTGCGGCCTCTGTGGGGTTTTCTGCAGCATCTGGGCCATGTCCGTGTGGGCGTACTTCGCCTTCAGATTGTCTGGTTATGCCTGAACTTGTTCATCCGCTGGAGTTCAAGAACAGAGTAGTAGAAAACTAACGACTGTTTTCTTTTATGACTATTATTCTTCTGGCATGTCTTAATATGGCTGCTGACTTTGGGTGATCTTCTTCCTCCGGATGAGGCATTCGAGGCAAGAAATGGAAAAGAAGCTTGTTGGAATTGAGTAATTCATCATCAGAAGCCTTTTTCTGCGGCCTGGGTTTTTATTTTCTTGGTCATTCTTCTGAGATTTAACCCTCCTTGTGGCTGCTCTGGGCTGATTAAAGAGGATCTCATAAAGGTAGATAAAAAAGAGAGTGAAACAGGAGAAAATTGCTCCTGAAAGAAGCATCCATTTCACACAGGCAAGAACAGAACGCTCATGGAAGCGGGTTCGATGAAAAGAGATGAACAAGGGAGCAGAGGGTTCTATTATTATATGTATGAGTGCATACGTAAAGAGGAGAGAGAGAGAGAGAGAGAGAGAGCAATCTCTTCCTAGCAAAACTGCCTTGTTATATCCTCCTTAAGTTATCACTCTCCGATTATCAGGTCTTCTCTAAGTATGAAGCTTTATCTCAGGAATCATCCAATTTGCTCTTTGATTCTATCCTTCACATTGGGGAATGCCCATGATCTCATCACTTACTAGAAAATGTCTCATTTGATCCTCCCAAGACAAGAATGCCCCAGCAATTATTATCTATTCTTCTTTAATTACGAAACAATATTCTTTTTATAATCTTTCATAGTTTCCTTTGATCATATGCTTCACACTGGGGAGTATAATCTCATCCATTACCAGAAAGCTCTTATTTTATCCTGCTAAAACCAGAAGATTCTATATTATTCCTATATTATTCAAAATCATTCAAGGTTTCTTTGATCGTATCCCTCACAGAGAGAGAGAGAGAGAGAGACTCCTGCGATTAACTAGTCTCTTTCAAGTATGAAATGCTTCATGGAGCAGAATCACATAATTTCATCGCTAACCAGCAAACTTCATCACTAAATCTTCCCCCAAAACCTACTCTTCAATAAGAAGGGAGAATATAGTGTAAAAAATGTCAATGGCATTGTCCCCTGCACAAAGGATGTAATGTGGACAGCATACCCGTTTTACTGGGGAGGCATGCCTTGCACTACAAGAAGGTTGGATGCCATGGCTTTCCATGTTAGTTCAGCTAAAACCAGACCCTCCAGTTAAAGCAAGAGGCTGAGCACCAGATGAGGAAGAAAGCGCACAGCCTTCAGTCAACTCAAATTTACTTTCCTATTTGTTCATTTCGCCGGTTTCTTCAGTGGTTTTGGCCTCTTTCTAACACATGGAAGTATATCTCATATTCTGCTGTGTTTAAAATTCACGATTAGATCTTGTCCCATTTCCGTTTTGAGAATTTTTTATCAATAATTTTTTTCCAGTTTGGGTTTTCAGGGGCATCTATTTTACCAATTCTCTTTGATATTTTCTTGTGACGACGCCTGATTTTATAGAGGAGAAGAGATGGACCTTAAACATGGGATTTGGCATGCTGGTGCCATCAGAAACGAGAAAAACATAAGAATTTTGTGCCCATTGGCTTTGGATCTGAGGATTTTGATAACCAGTGGATGGTTTATGGTGGCTGTACGTTAATGTCAAAATCGGAGAGATATAATAATTGCTCGTGCTGATCCAATCCTCAACCTATTTTAACATTGGTCCAAATGATCTTATGCATAATGAAGAAAGTGAAAATTTCAAACGGTGAAACAGAAGAAGAAATCAGAGTAGCAAAATATTATCAGTTGCGCAGAACAAGAAAGAGGAAGAAAATTTCACACCATCAGATCAAAGAAATAATGCTATTTATAAGAGAATGGATCAAGCAACCGTCACCGAGGCCCCAACGCCAGGATTCAAATCCTAATTCCTCCGAAGACACTGACCAGAGTCTTAGAGCATTATTATTCCGAACCATTTGGTGCGGCTGTCTCGATTCTGGCTGCCATCAACCCTGGCTAGAATGGAGGGGGCGGGGGGAAGCCGAGAAAGGGTCTGCTGGCTGGATCGGCGACGTGAAGGCTGTTCTGGATCTTGTGGAACCCATGGGCGAAGATTCCGAACCCGAAGACGAAGCCGATCAGTAGCACCACCAGGACCAGAAGGAAGCAGACGCAGCACGCCTTGGCCGAGCAGCAGCAGCACATTTTCCTCTATATTCCTCCAACGCAATCCAATCCCTTCCCCTGCTCTCTCGGGAGAAACAGTGGGAGACAGAGAGATCGAGAGACAACTCCAATAAATCGAGAAACAGAGGTAATGCCGCCGCCGTAGGGAAGAGAATCACAGGCCTCGCCGCCTCAACCCCCTGGTTCACGGGGCGGAGGAGGGGGAAGAAGAGATGGCCGGTGGTGGCGGAGGAGTCCGTTGCGGTGGAAGGTAGAGGGAAAGCTAAAAAGTGGGAGGCGGTGAAAAGAGGAAGGTGGTACAGTTACCAATGTGAGCACAGGAAACCTTGACCGCACTCCATAGCGACGTAGACGAGTTTGAGCGTCGGCTGATGTGGCGACGCCTCTAGTTCCCGCTGTAACGGCTCTCTGTCGTATGTTGGGCCTGGTACTGGGAACATTGAAAAATATTGGGCCGGATTAGAATGTGTTAATGGGCCTAAGTTAACTAAGATAAAAATATTATTAATTCAAAGAGGAAGATACCTGCGTTGTGTACGAGAAAAAAATGTAATGTAGGATGTGGACAAAATCCCTGCTTAGTGAACGGAGAGAGAAAGATACGTTTGACGAAATGCACTGCTTCTGTGCATATTGATACGTAGTGTGAATTCTTTTGTTTCCCGTGAGTTCCGTTATTTAGTTGGTTCGAATCTCGGCAACTCGGTGAGTCGACTCGTTGACATCCACAATCTTTGCGTTAGTTGTCAATCAGTTCGTCCACGTACTCGTCGATCGAGCCGTTGAAGTATAAAACTCGATTTATTGGACGGCGTTTGATCATCTTTCCCGGAGCATCTCTCCCAGTAATAGATTTCCCCTTTACGGCTCCGCCGCGACAAAGGCGCGATTCCAATCTCTCTCCTCTCTCTCTCTCGCTCGCTCGGCCTCCATTTCCTTCTCTCTCGTACCTCAAGAGGTGTAGATCCCTGGGTCTCTCTCTCTCTCTCTCTCTCCCCCTCTCTGCGCAGTGTTGGAAGAAGAGGCAGGGGAGGACTACCAGGTGATGCTGGAGAGTCGACTCGTCTCCATCCTACGGGGGGCCGCGGCACTCCCTCGACAAGTGAGGGGCTACTCAAGGATTTCCAATGGAGGAAAATCTCTCCGTCCTACTTTTGAATCAGCGGCAGCTACTGAGGCCTCTGCAGCTCCTCTGGCGAGATGGGGCTCCTTTTACGGGTTCAGGTCCCTCTCAAAGGTCTGTTAGTTTTCAATCCTGTAGCCTTTTCGTAGCGTTTTACCTTCTTCTTTATGCTTCTTTGTTTTGTATGCTACATGGCCGTGGATCGTTTCGAACTTGCGCTGGTTTCTGAAAACCTTATGGCATGACGGCGAATCGTATAGGTCCTTGTCTATGCTCCTATTTTTTTCGTGGCGATGATCATGAGTTTGATGTACAAGAGGTTCGAAAACGTGGTTTTATTTTAAATGTTACAATGTCTACATGTTACTCTTGTGCTTTTAGAAATTTTCTACCAGCCTCCATTTTTCTCTGAAAAGGAAAAAATCGTTGTACCCAGGGGTTTTTTGGTCAACCATCTAGGAGCATGTCCTCTTCTGCATCCCTAGCGACATTTGGGAAGGCTGAAGTGGCAAATAAAGGTTTGAAACTGCTAATCACTGAAGGTGCTGCTGCTCAAAAGAAGGTTGGGATATGGCTTTTCGGCTGCGCAGCCTGGGTATTCAGCATGGTTGTGCTTGGTGGTATAACACGTCTCACTCGATCAGGTTTGTCAATGACGGACTGGAAATTTACTGGTAGTTTACCTCCATTATCAGAAGAACAGTGGCAGCTTGAATTTCAAAAGTATCAGCAATCTCCAGAGTACAAACGGTAAACTAAGTAACGTTTTTCTCTTACTGAACTGTATTTTAATTTTTTTTCTGGAGTTATCCTTTGATTATATTTTTTCTTTGCTGAACGAGCTTTTGTCTATGGCGTCTTTATTTTATCTTAATTGCGATTTTTTAATGGAAATGTGAAGTAAACCTATGTACTGAGTTATTCAACTTTTAGTTGTATTAGCAGAGGAAAATCTTTTCCACCTCTGTTGATGATCTTGTTCACTTCTTTTTTTTGTCTCTGATTTGGTTCATTTTTATTTTTTTCATGAAGCTCCTCTCGGTTTCTGCATTTCTTATTACTCTTTACTGTCATTTTTTCTGATGTCCTTCCTATGATTGTATTATTTTTTCAGTTTTTTCTGTGCCAAATGGCTACGCATGATATTTATTATTGAGTCATGCTACAATGTTTTTGTGCGTCCAAACTACACTGAAAGTTTTCCGCACAGTACACAGTTTATTGTGTGCTTTTTCTAAAAAAACAGAGCACCATACATTTAAGATAATATTTATGGTCTGGTCCACCTGGGCTGGTACCATCGGTCCTCCTCCATCGTTCTAGGAATCTGTAGCCACTTTAATGTGTCGGTTAGACTTATTAATAAGCATTATGTGGATTGCTTCTTTGAATTTTACTTCATGTTCTGTTAGATGATCTCACTGAACTATTGCATGATGTTTCATAAATTATTCCCCGCACATCACATATAGGTTCCGGACAATTCTTTCTAATCTCCTTGCTAGTAATTTTGATTTTATTTTGGTTTTACTTACCGCGAACTGTCTTTTATATGCTATCATTGCTTAAAATTTTGAAGAACAAATTATGAAGTGAATATGATTTCCTTTGAAGATTTGAATGCTTTTACGTTTTCTACAAATAAGTTTTAGCAAAAAAAAATTCATTTTACAAATGTGATGGTTTGATATCTTTACCTGTATAATTGTGGCTCAATTTATTTTTTTAGGTGTCATATTCTTTTCTGAAATTTTATTATTTATTTTTTTATTGCAAGTACTTGTGCAGGACGATACTTATGATGTGTTTTCATTTATTGTAGAATAAACAAAGGAATGAGTATGGAAGACTTTAAATTCATATACTGGATGGAGTATGCACACCGTATGTGGGGGAGGGGGCTGGGTATTGTGTTTGCTCTTCCTTTTGCATATTTTTTTGCAAAAGGTTTCATTACTCGCCACCTTGGTCTGAGACTCTCTGCTCTTTTTGCACTTGGTGCTGGGCAGGGATTTGTAGGTTGGTGGATGGTAAAGAGTGGCTTGGAGGTAGTTTACATTTAATTTTCCTTGTCCACAATTTCATTGCACATCAACTGTTTATAACACTCATAGACGAATTTCCCTTCTGATTCTTTTCCTTGAATTTAGGAGCCACCTTCTGAATATGTTCAGCCAAGAGTAAGCCCTTATCGCCTTGCTGCTCATCTCACATCGGCGTTTGTCATATACTGTGGCCTGCTTTGGACTGCTCTATCCGTTGTCATGCCAGAACCTCCAGCTGGCACCATAAATTGGGTCCATGGGGCAGCAAAAGTTCAGAAGCTAGTGCTCCCTATTTGTGCTATCGTTGGCATTACAGCTGTCTCTGGAGCTTTTGTTGCAGGAAATGATGCGGTATGAAATGGTTTGACTTTACTTTTTCCTTCATCTCCTGTGTTATTAACGTCGTCTGATGGCATATGTTATGTTACACTGTTAGGGACACGCGTACAATACTTTTCCCAAAATGGGTGACACTTGGATCCCAGATGATGTGCTCAGCATGGAGCCCCTTTTTCGCAATTTTTTCGAGAACACATCAACCGTGCAGGTTAGTTTTCAGCATTCTGGTTGCTTGATGACAAGACCTTCAAAATGTTTCTTTTCTTTATACGTAGTTCTGTTTTGGCCTTTGACTTTGAGCTACTCAAGTGCATTGAGGCCACTATGCATGACATAGCTTTTAAAAAATCAAATCTATCATTACCATAAAAAAAAATTCAAATTCTGTTGGCTCTCTTTCAGCCGTACTCATAGAATTGTTACACGTTATATTCTGATTTGTTCACAATGTTAAGGTATATTTTATTTAAAGCCATCCCTTCTTAGTACAGCATCACTGTTTTAATGGCGCATGGTGCCAATAGCTGTCATTAAAAATCTAAGGAACATCAAGGAAGCACTGGCACGCCTCTTTTTACTCCTGGGAAGTTAGAAATATAAGCGGGAAATGATTTAAATTTTTTTGTTGTGATGCCTTCCTATACACCCACACGGAGGATATACTTTATTGTTTTCCGCGACCATTCATAATTCTTCATGGGGTTGATGACAAGTTTCATCACAAGAAGGATCATTCATAATTCTTCATGAGGTTGATGACAAGTTTCATCACAAGAAGGAAAAAAAGGAGTAATTGACCTTGTGATGGACAAGGGGATATATGATCCTAGTGTCGACCATCCATAGCATAGGAAAGTCGAGGCACAATACAAAAGGATTTCTTTGCTGATTATGTTCTTTCAACTCAAGTGTGTGATGGTATGAGGTACTGATTTGTAGTAAGCTTCGAGATTCTAATCATCTTTTCCTACCCATCCATTAATATGCAGCTTAATCATCGCATCCTTGCAACCACAAGTCTGATATCCATTGGTGGTTTGTGGCTGGCTACCAGAAAAATAGACATGCATCCAGCGATAAATTCTTTAATTAGGAGTACACTGGGAATGGCAGCGCTGCAGGTACTTCACCTTCTGTTGTTTATAAAATTGGAGGATATTAAATCACTTCCAACTTTTTGAAACATTAGCAATGAATGAAGGTAAATCATGTAGAAGCTAACAGACAGCGTTGATGGTCAACTGTTGCAGGTTACCTTGGGGATTACGACGCTCCTGACATACGTTCCAGCTTCCCTAGGCTCAGCCCATCAAGCTGGTGCCTTGACTTTGTTCTCTCTCATCATCCTGCTAGCTCATGTTGTGAGGAAGCCTTCTCCAACCCTCCTCAAATCGCTGGCCTCGCTGCCAAAATCCAGTTCCTGATTCCTATTCTGCAGATCTTCTTATTCCATATTCATCCCATAAATCGAGGATGCAAGGATTCCTCTCTTTTTCATGCCCGGCCGAAACATCATAAAAAGAAAATCTCTTTCCACATCTCCCCGGATTTTGCGCGTGGACTGATTTTTGTCAAATTTCGGATTTTCCCAAAAATCTTTACCAGATGATGTAACCCAGTGACCGCTAATTATGATGTAATCTAGATGTCACTGTTCCTGTTTATTGTTTTAATTGCTCATAGATTGGTTGACCGATGATCCAGCAGAAGCAGCAGCAGTCAAATGCCACGTCAGAAGGGCTTACCAGGTACTCTCCATCCTGCTTACTGTTTCCATAGACCAAATATAATAGCCCATAGATAGGACTTATTATTAGGCAAGAGGCCAAGTTGGCGAACATTAAGAAATGAGACTAGCAAACAATGGTGGAGTTTTCATCGCCTAGTGCCCATCTCCCTTTCTAATAATAGTGATGATGTCATGCGTTGACTTCCGAGACAACCCTTTTGCGATTTGTGCAAAACCCCACTAGATGTCCGTAAAATGGTCAAAAGTCATCCGAGGGTATGTATCCTAATAAATTTTCTAAAGTTCTCGTCGTTACCTATGGTTTTTAGCAATCATCCTGTTTTTAGTGTTGAGTGAAAGAACAAGCCGGCTGTGGGTAAATCACCTTGCTAACTAATCATCATGCGTGAGGCATTCCACCAAAAATGATACACAGTAGAGTGTCCATTGGGAATACCTGGGAGTTTGTAGCTTACACGTAGAGAGAGAGAGAGAGAGAGAGAGAGAGAGAGAGAGAGAGAGAGAGAGAGAGAATAAAAAATAAACTAGAAACACCCGTTGACCGTGTTCTCAACGTAGAGCAGCAGGGCAGCTTTGGTCATATGATGGTTCCGCTGGGGATCAGAGCATCCTTGATGATTGTCACGATGCCGCTCTTGATGAAATAGCCGTCTGTTTCCCTTGCAGCTTCTTGCACGTTGTCGGAGTTGACAATCTGCACAAATCGGACCCGGGATGAGAAGAAAGCTCCCATTTTGAACTGGAGGAGTCAAAACTGGTGACTGAGAGAACTCTCGAAAAAAACACCTTCACATTGTCGCCGATCCGAGCATTCTTGTCGATGATCGCCTTCTTGATGTGGGTGTTCTTCCCTATTCCAATTGGGACGCTGCCCTTGGCTGCCAGGAACCTCTTGTCGGCATCCGTCTGCCAGAGAACCATGATCAGCCATCAAGACACATTCCATAAAAGGAATGAACAGTAACCCAGATGCGGAAATCTACTCCATGGAGTGATCATGCAGAAAAAAAAAAATCATTTTTATTCTTTTTTCAGAAGTTCTGTTGGTCTGGGAAGAATGGTACCTCATAGTAGTCAGCTCCCATGAGCAAGGTGTCTTCTATGATTGCGCCCTCAGAGATGTAGGAGCGCAGACCGACTACAGAGTGGTGAATCTTGCAGTTCTGGGGTGGGAAGCAGAGACGAGGTGGTCAGAACTCAGAAAGCAACAGTAGCATAGCCAGTATCGGCTTACCTTGATCACACAGCCTTCGCCAATAACACTATCTGTAACATCAGCATCCAGCATCTTGGAAGGTGGGAGATACCGAGGTTGGGTGTAGATTGGTGAGGAACGGTCATAGAAGCTGCAGATTACAATGGCAGAGACCAGAAGCTGAGGTGAGGGAGGGGAGGGACGGAAGAGCATGGGATTGATTGATTAATGGGCTCTACTCAGTGACCATTGAGATAGATGTACCTGAAATCTGGGATTGGTTTCTTCGTGATCCCAAGGTTTGCATTGTAGAATGCTTCAATGGTACCAATGTCTTCCCAGTACCCATCAAACAGGTAGGCTTGAACCTGCCAATAATGGTATTGATGAGAAATCTGAGATGGCTTCGCAACACAAGGAACTCTAAATCACTGTTGGGATGAGGCAACATGCCAATCTGGGGTACTACTGCCTTGAATGGAATTTTACAAGAATGAAATAAGACAGATAACTGAAGAGAGAGAGAGAGAGATACCCTCAAGCCAATAGAAGTAGCACCAGGTATGACTTCACTTCCGAAGTCATTAGCCCCTGGAAACTCATTACTTAGGAGGTTCAGCATTACATCCTTGCTGACAACATAAATGCCCATACTGGCAATGAAAGGCATTTCTTTAGCTCTCTCGTCATCCAGGCCTAATATCGTTGTATCGACCTGCAGCAAGATACACAGTTGAATGGGTTTTCTATAAGCACTTGTGGTCATGGCAGGGGAGTATCAGGAATGCTTTCAGGCGAACTGACCTTCATTCCTTTGAGTTGCTCCCCCTTTGGCTTCTCAGCAAACTCAATTATCCGGCCTTCTTCGTCAATTTTCATCAGACCAAAGGCAGTAGCCCGCTTTTCATCCATGGGAAGAGCTGCCACTGTGATATCTGCATCTGTTTCTCTGTGTGCTTGAATGAACCTCTCATAATCCATACGATATAAATGATCTCCAGCAAGAATAAGGAACTCCATGACATTATGCTCCTCAAAAAGCCACAGGTACTGTCTCACAGCATCCGCAGTTCCCTGAAAATTAAATCCCATGAGAAATGCAAAAAAAAAAAAAAAAAAAAAAAAAACGTGTCCCGGGAAATCCCCAACTTAACTCAAAGGAGTGAAAGGTAACATTTATCGATTTAAATAATATATTAATTACAGAATCATTTAAAGACATTTTAGAGAGATAAATTTAAATAATATATTAATTACCTGAAACCAGTTAGGGTTCTCAGGGCTCTGCTGAGCAGCAAGGACTTCCACAAAACCTTCGTTCTTGTATCCACCAATGTTGTTACCATACGCCCGTGAAAGGTGACGGTTCAGTGAAGCAGAGTTGAACTGTGTCAGCACGTATATCTTTGAGATGTTACTGTTCAAACAGTTGCTGACAGGAATATCAATCAGCCGGTAATTTGCTCCCAACGGAACAGCAGGCTTTGCTCGCTTCTTAGTTAGTGGGTACAAGCGAGTCCCAGCTCCACCACCCAGTATGATTCCCAAGACACTCTGCAAAAATGAGCAGATGAAACCATCTAGCTTGCCAAAATCGGAACTTTGCATTTCAGAGTCAACAAATCTTCAGAAAAAAAATATATTTTTAAAGAGATGGGCAGTAAACAAGATTATAATTTTCCATAATAATCGGTAGAAAAATTCAGAACTGGAGAATATGTCGATAAAAGTTTTCATGCATTATGAAAATAATCTTTGCAGAAAGACAGATGATATATGCTTCAATGAATCCCAAATATTATTATACCACTAGGAAAATTCTTCAAGATTCACAGGTCTCTGACATATTCATATATAATGATTTTCCAAAAAAAAAAATGGTGAAGAAACGTGTAACTTGTGAAAATTGGGAAAGATTTAAATATCTTATTTGTTAATTATTACTGGGGAAGGATTTCTCTGACGATAACATATTCAACAACTGATTGAACAACCTTTCGATCATTAAGTAAGAAAGTGGTATTCATTAGAAGCAAGCACAGAGAAGACACATTCCCGTGGCTCGTACCCCAACGCTCATAAAATCTATACCGAAGAAAATCAGCTTCGTGAAGCCCCGGCATCTGACCCCCGACGGCGATAACGAACAGAGAAAATTCAGGATCTGGCACATACTACTTGATAACAATTTAACAAAAAAGAATAATAAAAGCGACAAAGAACATCAATGCAAATCCGAAACTCGACTTCGCCCGCAAAGAGGTGGAGTTCTCGATCAACAAAAGAAACAGAGAAAAAACCAGACTCACCCTGCTGGCCTCGGGATCGAGACAGGTCTGCGAGCTCTTGGAGTCAGAAACAGCCTTCGGGGACACGACGACCGGCGACCGGACCGCCGATGATCTCCCACAGCTTCGAGAAACAGCGGAGGGAAGCCTCAACTCCCCTGCAACGAGGGACGATGACGCGGCCGAAAGATTACGGTTTGAAGGTCTTGAGAAGCCCACTGCCCCTGATCCCCCACCGGCTGGTCTGCTGGATGAAGAGTCTACAGAACCCAACAGACGAGGGGCAACCCTCGAGATCCCGCTCGCCGCCATCGCCATTGGAGACCTCCCTTCCCTTCCCTTCCCTTTCCTTCCCTTCGCTCTGCGGCTGCCGCGAGAACGAACTCGTGGCAGCGGTCGCTCGAGGCCTCCTCTCTTAAAATAGAAACATAACCTCGAGATCTCCCCGCCTCATTTCTCCAAACCCCTATAACCTCTCAAATTCTCTTCTTTTCCCGCCATCCTTTTAGTTTTGCCCCGCAAAATCAGGCTTCCAAGAAATTCCATCTACTATTAGGGTACACAAGTAAGGAAACAATTTAACTGCAAACGCATATTCCACCGATCCCGCTTCGGAATGTTGCTCGGCCGCCTCGGACGACAGGCGATAAGACACGTGTGACGATCGTGAAATATCTCTTCCACGTGGCATGGTTTTATTGGTTGTCACGTGATCATACTGCGCCTCCGAATGTGGGCCACTGATCGGGACATGAACCGCTTAGAACGCGCGCCTCGGCCAGCGCGGGAACACGTGGCAAACACAGCGACCGTTTCGGAGCCTTTCTGGTGGATCGCGGGTTATGATAGGGAGCCCT